TGAAAAATTCAGCAGATCCCAAGTACTGTAAGAATCGGTTATGTGAAGGTTGCACATAAAAGGTGACTGTCTTGTAATTTTTTTTATTTGCTGAAACATTATCAAGTGGTGCGAAAAATATGTACAAGTGCACGGACAGGCATACATTAAATAGCCACATATGTTTCATATAACCATTTGTTTCCACTTGCATAACAATGCCAACAGCAATATGGATAATACGAAAACCAGAAGTTGTAAGCTGATATGAAGTGCTGGTGCTCACGAGGATATTAGCCCTGGACACTGCTACATAAATCATCTTCAGAGGATGGCACCTAACTACAATTAACGCTAACCTGATGTGACGGCTGTATCATGGGAGTAGATATGTAATGTTTATAAAATGGGTTAGCTGGCGCTGCAATCATAATTGATGTTTCACAAACATTAGGGTCTATTTGAAAAGTAGTTCTGAAGCCCGGTGTAGCTCTGTAGTAGAAGACTTGGTTGCCATGCATAATGCTGGGGTTTGATTCCTGCTGGGACCTTGATTTATTATTTTCCTTTGTCAGGTCAAAGCTGCTGATGTCAGCTTTTTTTTTAACGTTAAAGTGTTAAAAATAACCCATGTGTGTTCTCGCCGTTCAAGGGTAGCTATGAGCTGTCAAGCATCTGTGGCACATACTCGCCCTCGGTTTTGTGCTTCACTGAAGAAATATATTTTGTATTTTACACTCAATTGGACTCAGACTCACCAAAATTTTCTTGAGCCAAACTCACTCGGACTCACACTCACGAAAATTTTCTTCATCAGGACTCACTTGGACTCAAACTCTCGAAAATATTATTCACCCGTACTCACTCAGACTCAGGCTTACGGATAGATCTGAGCCTGAGTGAGTCGACTTATGAGTGAGTTTGCTGACCTATGCAGTCAGGTGTTTTACTAGACAGGTGCGACCCGGTCGTTCAGTGAGCATATCACTGAAAAGAGTCGACAGCGACGACAGGTGCACTTTCTCACGTTTTGAAAAGCTGCAACACAAATGTGGCAGTGAGCGATTCGAGCTGCTGCTTACCGGGGTGGTCATCGGCGTAGCTGGGACCTCGTTCACCGCGGTAGTATTATGCTCGAGAGAAAACGGAATGCATGAACCGTTCTTTTGCTGTGCTGACCAAACGGCCAGTCTTGGCGTCGGAGTGAGAGACATGAGCTGAGGAGGCTACGTTTTGTATTCCCTCCACCTGCTTCCTCGATAGCCAGTGACTTACAGGCTGCCGTGACCACGGCAAGTGTAGTGAATGGTCGTAGAGCGCCAGAAGGGCCATTCCTGTTGCATCTGCTTGCGACGTCAATCACGATACCCATGTGCTACAAAGTCGTTACTGAGAATCACGGGCACAGAAACACCCGGGAGATGCACAAAGCACTGTCCGTACGCGAGATTGTCCCAGCGCACAACCAACCGCTCAGCACCACCCGAAGTGGTGGTACTGCTGGCGAGATAGTAGGCAGTGTCGCAAGCTCGAATGTGGACAGAGCAGTCACGCAAATAAGTCATAACCTCTTCCCCGAGCAACGAGATTGAAGCCCTGCTATCCAGTAATGCCGCAAACTCTCGACCAGCGATTGTAAGGGGAATGAACAGCGCCAGCGTGATTGGAAAGTCGTGTCCAGCACGATACGCCATTGATTCCAGAGTTTAGGTGGCACCCCCCGTGTTCAGTGCCATTTATGTGAAGATAAGTATCGTATGTGAAAGGCTTACCCTAAGAAGCGACCGGAAAGGGATGGGACGTTTTCCACTGCCATTTCGCACAAAGACGCAATGGCTGGTTTTGTTGACTCTCCTATATGATACAGAAACAGCACTCAAGGCAAGTCATCAACAAACACGGGTTTATTAACTGAAGCACAGTGCGACAATCACGGTCTTGCGGGCCATTAAGGAAACTCAGCAAGGCTGACTGAGAGTACGCTTGCCGGCAGGTGCTACGGCTATCTCACAAAGGGCAGCAACTCAGTGCATGGATGAGAAGCCGCCTGGTAAATCACTGTGTGCACCTCTCCTGCAGCCCTGTGAGAATCTGCCCCATACGCAAGCTAATGCGAGAGGGGGTTGTCATGGGGGGTCAATTATGATCGGCGAAGCACCGTGACGTGCGCTAGTGCAATGCAAGGGGAAGGCCTTGTCCGGACATGTTCATACACATGTCTTTGTGTTGGAAAAGCCATTGTGCAGCTTGCGCCAAACCAAAAGCCCTGGCAATGAAACTACGGTGGCCATGTTCCCGGCACAAGAGCTGCACGGAGCCAACACTCGCGCTAGCTGTGGAATGAGGCATCAAATGGGAGGGTATGCTCGATTCCCACATACTAGACTACTAAGACCAGTTTTCGAGCACAGTTCTTGAGCACTAATTAGTGCACTTTGCATCATCGATGTAACCGAGCGAACAATCTGTGGTATTGGCTCAGGGGAGAATGAAAGAGAGCAAGAGGAAAGCAAAGCAGAGAAAGTTACAGCTGAAGCATGAGCACGAAAGTGGAGGAGGTGTGTAGTGACTAAGGAAATGCAGTGCTGCATGAGTGGAGGTACATCTGAAACATCCCTGATACGGCACCAGAATAGCTCTTCATCGTCCGCTTACTGACTTTGTTGATAAGTTGGGGGGTGACGGCATTAACAGGTACCACAATTGGAAATAAAATGTTGCACGACTAGAGATCTTCATGCTGAAACTGCTGTAAAACATGCCCATGCCTGGATCAGTGCAGGGTAACGCCGCCGCGGTGGTCAAGTGGCTAATGTACTCGGCTGCTGACCTGGAGGTCGCGGGATCCTATCCTGGCTACGGTGGCTGCATTTCCGAAGGAGGCGGAAATGGTGTAGGCTGGTGTGCTCAGGTTTGGGTGCACGTTAAAGAACCCCAGGTGGTCGAAATTTCCGGAGTCCTCCAATACGGTGCCTCTCATAATCAGATGGTGGTTTTGGGTCGTTAAACCCCACATATCATCATCAGTGCAGGCTATTACACAACACATAATTTGTGCCAACCAAGTTACTCACAGCACTCTCGTAATTATAATACAATACTCTCTCAGCGAGTTCTTTCTGAACATTGAGTAATGCAAGTTAAGAAAATGCTTCATTGGCCACTGCTGCCAATCAAGCTGCCAAAGTAGAGGCTCAGGAAGTTGATGCCAGAATACAGAGCTTCACCATGCTAGATGGTACTTTAAAGGGACACTAAAGAAAAACAGTGAATCGATTTAGGTTGATAAGTCATACTCAGACAACTCTGTCGTTAATTTCACCTTCATAGGTTTAAAAATTTTAAAGAAAATCGAGTTCAAAGTTTCGTTCTTGAAATTTTAATGCCTGAATTATGAAACCGCCAAGCAAAATGAATTTCGTCTTCATTTTTCAGCTTTAAGTAGCAACCTTTAAATGATTCTGTAGTTAAATGATCTAAATTGCAACTTTCATGCATACTTTTGCGTATGTCGCCAATTCTACATATGCCACAGAAGCGAGGACCTAGCAATAAAAGACGTACTTAAGAACTACGTAACAGGTTGTGTATGGCCTCTTGAGTGGCCCCCACAGAGGATACTTTGCTTTGTTTTTATCGATTAGGAACTACATAGAACTCAGTGGCTGCTTTAAAAATATGCAATGTCACAGCGAAGGGCTTGGAAACTTGAAGGTGGCTTCACCACTCACATTTTCTTATTGTGTGTTTTCTCGCTTACCAAGTGTCTTCTTCCTGCAAGCGTGGTGTTTTTGGTACCATGGAAGAGTAATTATTAGGAGAAATATCATTTTTCTTTTTAAGGTCCCTGTAATACTGCCACAGACATGACCCTGCCATTCGTGTAACTGAAATAGAGTCATCACCATTGCCGAGACATGTATGCATGTCTCTCCCAAATTCTTTGCCTCATATTTTGCCAAATAAAAACACACAATAGTCCAGTCTCTTATTTGAGAGTATTATTGTAATCATCGAACTTGTTGTTCGCTCCACAAGAGCAATGTTTTTTTTTTAAAAGGAATAATATAATTTTATTTTCTCAATACAGCCAAACAGAAAGCAATGAGATGTATTTATTTTTGTGTGCCAGTGGTACATGTGTGCCAGTGTTTCCAACACACTATATTTCAATACACACAGATTGGCTTGAACTAATGCATAGTGCCCGTGTGTGCTAAAATGCTCACTCTAAGAACATAAGTAATGATCCTGGACCTGACTTTTGCCGGCTGTCTCATGTCAAAGCACGGCCTAGTCATGCGAGAGCCAAGCCTATGTTTGCCCAACTTCACTGAACTGGTTTAGCATGTGATTGTACACTGCTTTAGCCAATGTAGGCTATGCTCATATAACTGGCGCATTTCACTTTAAGTCGGGGCACTTTTGAATATCCAGCGTCCACATGGGACACCATTTTGTCTACTCCAGCATGTGTGAAACTCAGATGCCAGAGTGCATCAGACATTCACATTTTGTAATGAGCCTAGTGTTTTCCAGCAGATAGCATTTGGTCAAAAAGAAAAAAAAAAGCATAATTTTCGAGGGACAGTGCGTCCGACTGTACATTGCCATGCTTGTGCACAGATCATAGAGCCTTGTGTGAAATTCACATGTATATGTGCAGCAGCTAGCCAAACATGTAAAGAGCCACTTGATGGTGTGGCGGCCTTAGATAGTATAGATGCCAGGTGGTGACTGGCTGCAACTGTCATCTGTACTCAATTTCACAGTCAGTAATATTGAAATTTTTATTGATTTTTTATGTGTATGTTATAGGTATACCTGCGGATAGCGGTAGCCTTATATTGTATATGTTTACTAGGTTATGTATAGTTTTATGAGGTGTTTGCTTGGTACTTCTTCATGAACGCTACAGGTTTGCTTTTACATTAGGTGACAAGAATATTGTAGTTGCTGGAGTTTAATGTACGGCTCTTTGCAGATTATGTTGTAATCTGTGTTGTATGTTTTTTCAACAGTGTTCGACATCTTGTTGAGTATACATGAGACTCAAGGAGACTGGGCCAACTCTTTGGCAAAAGTAATTCCAAAAAGGACAGGCCTTTGCAAGAAGCAGTCTTCCTTGTAACCTTGTAAGTGTCTTGTGTGTTTAGATTTTTTGTCTTCCACTGCACAAATGCTACTCTAAACCATGTGTATTCAATTGTAACTTCAATGAAAAGAGACATGGTTCTAGTTTACAACTAACTTTTTGCATTAGGTTGTCACATTTAAATAAGCTTTTATGCTGGTCGTTTCACTATAACCAATGAATGTCCATAATTATAGCTGTTTAGTTGCAAGCCAGTTTGAGCTCATTATTGTTTCGAAGCTACAGGGGAATTAAGTTGGTTCAGAACTGTCTATGCAGAAAATGAGGATAGTTCAGTGTAACATGGCTCAGGACAACCTGCAGCAGCAAAGGATGCTAAACATACTCAAGTGACAGTGTTCCCCAAAGTATAACCTAGAGTATTGTTCACATTTACTTAAGCTGCTGTTCTGAGGAGATGATTAGTCATCTTACCCGCTACAGCTCTTATACTTAAAGGCCAACTGCAACGAAATTTGACTAGGGGAGAATTGGTTTGGAATGCATAGTATAAGTTGGGTAAGCAATGATAATGTTAGGGAAAGATCTTGCAATCGTGTATTTCATTTGTAATTTTCAGGGCTGGGCAGATCGAAGGTGCATGGTGTTGAGATACTATCTTAGATACCCTTTGGGTATCTTGTATCTGTATCGCGATACGTCTCGCAAGACGAGTATCTGTATCTGTATTTTCGTTACATTCGATGATGTATTGTACATCTTACGATACAAGGTATTGCGGTCGCAATGCTACACCGTGTGAAACATTAATCGCTGACTGAACTTCGCTGCTATTATTGGTACTGGTGCCACTAAGACACCTGAAATAAACTATAAGGGCAGTGATATTTTATCTTTTCAGCCGACTCCAGCAGTCAGTGTGAACTTCGTTTACAGCGCAACACTAAAGACACGAACACAAAGAAGAACAAGGTGCTGACTCTCGACTGATTTTTATTGAAAAGTGAGTTGTCAAACATATCTATAGCAAATGCGCAAAACCATGACATGCGCGAGGCACAAGGAAACATTCCGGCAGCCTTGTCATAAAAACATATTTGCAAGATCAACACAAATAGTCCATTTCCTTCTCATGCAGAAAGCCGGACACTTCACTGATACAGCTCTCGTCTCTATAGTCGGTATGTTATATGCCTCAGTAGTTTCGTGATCAGGTAAAATGCCTAATGGATGCGGGTTACCCTGATGCTGTAGTTTTACCTGTATGTGAACATGTCATTTGTAAGATCAAGCGCGTAAAAATTCGATGTGATAATGGTAAATCTGATGAAAAAAGAAAAAGTGCAGTGTTTCTTTACGTACATGGACAAGTGCACGGGCTTATAATGTATAAATTCTATAGGTGCGGCGTCAATGTTCGTATTTCTGCGAAACAAAAGATAGGTCGCATCTGCCCGATGATTGACAATGCTCTGAAGAACAAGCAGGGTATAGGCAAAGGCATTGTAAATAACAGGAACAATTACATCACCGTTGTTAAAGAAGTTGTGTATGTCATTCCATTATTATATGGTGGGGAGTACATAGGACAAACGAAGTGGTGTGTCAATGTCCGGCTGCGAGAGAATGAACTATCACTTCAAGGAGTTTTGCGACTTCATCTGCCTGATCACTGCAGGTCATGTGGGTGTCATTCCATCTTTAAAAAAACTACCGTCAATTTAAACACGCGAACCAGTGGACTAGAGAAATTGCTGAGGCTTATAACATATAAATTAGAGACAAGAGCTATATCAGCAGTGATCCCGCTCCTGCGCCAACTGCGCCAAAATTAACCAAATCAGATTTACTGTGCCATCCTAATAATAGCTATGGAAATCGGGCCAAACTGGGCTTAAGTCGGATTTGGGAGCGTCTATCACCGGCAATAGCCACGCCAATACAGGTGCTTCAATACATGTACAGTGCCTATTTTTATGAAAAGGAACACTGGAGCGTGTGGCCTGCGCGCCCCGGCGGCTGCTGGCAGTGCGTTCAAGCGGGGGCGAGAGTAAGCACTGCCTGTATTTGCGTCATCTCACGACGAGCAAAACAAGCACTCATTGGTAATATAGAACCAGTGCCAAGATTGCAACTCCCTTTCTTTCATATCGATTACCGGCCTCTTGCCTAATCTTCTTTAAGGGGGAAGGGGCTGTAATCTGGCCGCTGGTTTCATATCACCAGTGACTGCTTGTTTTGCTTGCCACAAGATGACGCGAAAAGAGGCTGTGCTTGCTCTTGATCCTGCTTAAACGCGCTGCCAGCAGCCGCCGGAGCGTGTAGGCCACGTGCTTCCGTGTTCCTTTTCATAAACATCGACTGTACACCTTGTTATCAGGGCCGCCAAAGTCAAAATCACGTATTGATTTTGTTTCGCTGAATAAACTGCGGTTGCGTGTGCGTCCTAAAATCCACAATGCTATGTTTGGTGCCGACGCAACTCTGTTGGATAAGTCCGCTTAACAAAGAAACAAGTTCTCCGCAGGTGCTTGTGACATCTAGTCCAATCGGTAGCATGAAACTGTGGCAGTGATTTATCGGCGAGCATCATCCGTTCCAGAAACCCTGCTGATAGTTTGTTTGAAGAGTTGCACAACATGTAATAAAGCAATTTACACTCTAATAACTGCACGCATGCCGCCAGAATGTCAGTGACGTCTATGTCTGGCCATCTGGATCTGATTTTCAGTGCTTCCCATTCGCAGAAGAACACGTAAATGGTGGGAACCCGTTGACCCTTTTTCTCTAATATACTTTATGCGTGGATCATCACACAAAAGACCTTTTCCTTAAACTGCTGTAATGGTAAAAGCCCCCCAAAAGACTCGAAGTTGCTAGGGTCCGAATTGAAAATTCTCATGTGCTTTCTTTTTAAATGTCATCTCATTTATAAAAACATGCCTCCTGGTCGGAGTAGCCGCAATTTGGTTTTAATACATGCAGCTATAGTGAAACCATCGCTGGCTGTTCTAGTGTCGGAAGGCCTATGAATTGGCTATGCCTTGTTACACGTCCGCCTCTCACTTTCCTGGGTCAATAGCTGACGCTTAAAAAAAATGAACATCACAGCATCGCATTTATTGCTTCGTTTTGAAGATATTTCTGAATCACTTTTTGCATAGTTTGTTCCCTTTGAGTACAAGGTAGAAGGGTAAAGCAGTCGTAAATAGTGCGTGCACGAGCGATCACACCCTTAAAGTCAAAGTTCATAGCGCCCCACCCCCCACCTTCTTTTCTTGCTCGATACTTCCTGTCGCTTGGACACAGGTGGCGTGTTCCTCTCTGCTTGAGTAACAATCGATGGGAGGCTTGGCACGCGGGGTGATGTTATCGTATCCGCCCTCATTGCAGAGGAGATAGGTCAGCTCTTATCTCTGCTTCAGCTGCGTTGGTCACCACCGCTCGCGCACTTTTATCCGCATGTAAAACATGATGCACCGGGGTAGGTGTTATCGATTGGGACATTACACAAAGCATGACGGCCAGTGGCGAAGACATGGGGGGGGCACATCGTAAACGTGCCCCACCCTCCAACCCCCAATATGTTTTTTTTTGCCATGGCACATATAGCACAAAAAGACCTTTTGCATGCCCACTCCCCCTTCTCTATGATATTTGCAATGAATCGAAATATATTTAGTTCTTCACAATAGCCTCAGAATAATTTTTCATGACCTTGAATGTAAATGTAACTTGCTTCTTCTCCAGGATTCGAACTTAGCTGCTCCAGATTGCTTCAAAATAGAAAATTTTGCTGCTAAAAAGTGCTCCAAAATGAAAATTTTGCTGCTCCAAAAACTTCTCCGAATCGGAAGACCTCGGTGTCATCACTGTATCAGTGAAGTGCCTATTTTTCTGCAGGAGAAGGAAATTGACTGTTTGTGTCGATCTTGCAAATCTGTTTTTATAATGACACTGACCGAATGTTTTCTTGTGCCTTGCGCATGTCATTGTTTTGTGCACTTGCTATATACATGTTTCACAATTCACGTATTAATAAAAATCATTTGGTAGTCAGGGCCCTGTCCTTTGTGTTGTGTTCGTGTCTCTAGTGTTGCGGTGTAGCCCAAGCTCATGATGAATCCTAACCAATTGGCCCAATTTGCCATCTTATTCCACCTGTCGGGGCAGAGAGAGAGAGGTCAAAAAAAAAAAAAGAAAAGATGCAACTTCTGCAGCCCTATACTTGGAATCACGGCTCAGATCCAAGTCGGGGCAGGCGATGAGGTGTGCACGTCCCTTTTGGTGAAGCAGAGCAACACGACACAGCTTGCGCAGTCTCAACAGAAATTACATTCACGTGCTCGCCCACGCTGTGTTTTCGAGATCTCTTCCCTTTTTAGTTGTGTCAGAGCCATGACACTTGCCCTTAGCTACTTGTAAGTGCCGCGTTCCACAATGCGTGCGGCGGGGATCGGACATATTGCGATGCTGCTCTCCAGAATGGAACTATAGACCCACCGGTACTAATGCTGCATCTAATAGAACAAGCACTTGTCTATATCAGACGATACCTTGGCGTATCATGCCGCTTTCTTCCTGCATGCTGTTGATTGATTGATATGTGGGGTTTAACATTCAAAAACCACTGTACGATTATGAGAGACACTGTAGTGCAGGGCTCCGTAAATTTCGACCATCCGGGGTTCTTTAACGTGCACCCAAATCTGAGCACACAGGCCCACAGCATTTTCGCCTCCATTGAAAATGCAGCCACCGCAGTCGGCATTCGATCCCGCGACCTGCGGGTCAGCAACCGAGTTCCTTAGTCACTAGACCACTGCGGCGAGGTTTCTTCCTGTTGTTACTGTTCAAAGAGCTCTTGGAATAATATGATTGTTAGCACAAGTGCTTTCTTTGTTATCGTTTTCTTGCATACCAAACATCTCCTATAGTCCTCTGAACTTTTTTTTTTTCGGTCTCGCGACTGCAATATGATTTTTGTAAAGTACATCCCAAATAAGCTTTTTGTTTTATCTTTACCTTTATTGTCTGCATTATTTTTGCTACTGTACTTACACATTTATATTCACTCTTCTCTTATGATGATTTGGGAAACAAATATGTAATTATATGAGCGTACATTGAGTATGCAGCACCCAACATTCTGCTTACTGCCGACAAAATGCCCAAATTGGGTTTGTGTCATAATAATGGGAATAATTGAAAGCCATCCGAGAGATCTTAGAAAGGGTATTCGAGAAACATTGAAATGAAATGGTCCATTTTTTAATGAACTTCTTAACGAGCTATTTCAGGCAATTACCTTTAGGCATTGATTTTTTTTATTGCCACAATAACGGCAGCTATAAGGGCACGCAGTGCAAATTTATTCAGCATAGCGATATCAAAATACAATAATCTGGACCCTCAACTCGATTTTCGGGGGATCACCATACCATGTTTCCCTTGCCCTCTGACGTTGGAAGGCTGCCCAATGAAATGAACTGAAAGCCGTATGGTACAGGAAGCTCACATGACATATTGCCTGTTACGTCCAGCGTGTTAAGGACGCCGTTGCGATGGTAACAAACAATGTGGTGTTTGAAAAGGGAAGGACACGTGCGAAACCAGCCAGCTTGCGAGCGTTTCTGTGTTTCGTAGCTTTACTAATCTTTCTTTTTGTAATGATATATATATATATATATATATATATATATATATATATATATATATATATATATATATATATATATATTAATGCTCCTACATTTTTTTTTTAGTTTCTTCACATAACGGCGCCCGGAGTGTTGCCGGTGCATTTCCTGCAGCACATGGCGTTAGGCGCATTCTTTGACTAGCTTTGCAGTTTTGAAGCTGAAAAAGTCGGAGAGCTTTATTCTCTGTCGCTTTGAGTGAAAAATCATGCTAATGAAAAAATAAATTCAATAGGGATTCCTATTTTGATGCAATGCTGCAATCAAATATAATGTTACATTTATGCAATCATATGGTGGCAACATTTCGTCATCATTTTCACTCGCAATAGTTCTAGCGAGTGCCACTATGAGTTATGCAGTCAGCACTGATGTTTTCAAGTGTTATTGGGCCCCTTTAACAGGTAAGTTGACGATACATCATGCTTAATTGCCCTAGCTATTAAGAGTGCCACCTGTATCGTGCATTTGAACTTATTCCTCTTGAATGCTTGAAACAACTGCTTTTCTATTTTAGTTGTAATTGTTTTGTATAACTATGCTGCCACTAACTCTTATTTTCATTTTGATGTGATTGGGCCTGAGTCACAAAAAATTTATGACCGCTTGGCGCAAGTCACCCGCAATGTTTCGTAAACTTCGAGATTGTCTCAGATTGTGCTTCTAAGATTAAGCGCAAGTCCTGGTGCGGCGGTCACATGTCGATGGAGGTGAAATGCTAGAAGCGCATGTAGTTAGATTTGATTTCACGCCAAAAACACCTCATGGGGAAAATTTCCGGAGCCCTGTACTGCTGTGGTCCTCAAAATCATATCATAGCTTTAGGACGTAAAAACTCAACAATTATTTTTTTCAGATTACGTGCATTACACACACTGTTGCTTATTTGCGAGCTTATGCATGCATCAGCAATAACACGGGAAGGTGCGATCACTGCTGTATAAATACGAGATGCATTCTGCTGATCAGATTACTGAAGGCCGAGGACACCTACTGCCGCTACCGAGTACAACATGCTTTGCTTGTACTTTGATTGACTTGTGGTGTTTAATGTCCCAAAACGACCATATGATTATGAAAGGCGCTGTATTGGAGGGCTCTAGAAATTTCGACCACCTGGGATTTTTCACTGTGCACCCAAATCTGAGCACATGGGCCTAGAGCATTTTCGCCTCCATCGAAAATGCAGCCACCGCATCCGGGATTGGATCCTGTGGCCTGCGGGTCAGCAGCCAAGTAGCTTAGCCACTAGACCACCATGGCGGGGCTTGTTTGTACTTTGCATTACTTAGTTTTTCGGGCTTGGGATAGCTCAGCAGTGAGTTTAATTTATACCAGAATGACTGTCGCTTTCTTCATAGTACCATGTGACAATACAGTAAGTCTGAGGTGTTTCTGAGGCGCACATGTCCTCTCGTTCAAGGAAATAGATTCACATTAGTGAGTATATAGATAATGAACGGTTTACGCCAGCATATAAAAAGAAAAAGAAAAGTTATAGCAGTTTTATACGCTGTAGACCTGTCTATATACACAATGTTCCACAAAAATGCTGCGCATTATTGCTGCTGTACACCGGTGATTCAGTATTGCAAAACAGTATTTTGTGGACAAGCCTAAATGGCACACCGGTATTTGTGCCAACATACGCAGGCTTGTTATTGAAGCTCATGTGATTAAATAGCAATCCGCTAGCTGACCGGTGAGCTCAGCAGCGAGTCCAATCAATTGCAGAAATGACAAGCAAGAACTGCTGTCAGTGAAGTGTCCACAACACTGTGCTGTTAAGCAGCTATATCAATCCCTACTAAGTTCATCGAAATTAAGCTAACTTATCTTTTGACAAAACTTTTTTGAGATGCCAACAAACATTTCATCAAAATTAAATACGGCACACAAGAAATTTTCAATCCCTCATTTTTGTGCACACGCATACGCTACATGATTGTGTTGGTCTATATGAACAAATCTGCGAATGTATCGAAGCATTTTAAGATACCATGGGCGAGTATCGTATTAGGTACAATTTTTGCGGCAGTATCTTGTATCTGTATCTTCAATACTTTTTGTCTAAGTATCTTGTATTTTGTCGCGATACAATTTCAAAGTATCTTAGCCCAGCCCTGGTAATCATCGCTCTAATTGTCAGGTAGCAGACGATGCATAGCCCTAGCGGTGTGCCTGGGCAAATAGGACACAAACGGAAATGATGTCAATTGCAGCTCACCACTGCTTGTGAGTAGAACTGCCTGCAGCAGTGTCCATTCTTTTTCTTCTTTGATGCCCCTTTACGAACAGATTATTAGAAGAGTCAATTCTTTTGTAATACGAAATATGGGGCTGTAGGCTACTGGAATATACTGTAAAAATCGGAATGTAGGTGGAATTTTTTTTTCCGAAACACTTAATCAAAAGTCGACTCTCGTCTTGTATACCGGTCATTTGCAGAAGAAAATGTGGAAGCCTCGCAACAATGGGCAGCTGAAGTCGAAAGGCTCTATTGCTATCGTGAGAATCAGCAGCAGCCCCATTTGGCAAGGCTAGGCAAGGCCTGCAGTGTTTTAGCAGCGTCATTTTGTCTCGTTTATCTGCTGTGAGTCTGCTGTTTCTTTTCTTTTTTTTTTTTTTTTTTCAGAAATGAGTGGTAGTCGACGGCAGTTTATGATAGGCTTTAAGAAAAAAAGTTATCGAGTATGCCGAAGCGCACGGTAACCTGGCGGCACAAAGGGAATTCGGTGCATCGGAGGAAAGAGTCTGATATTGAAGGAGTCAAAAGTAGCATATCACATTCTGCAGCAGCCAAAAAAAAAATAACATTGTTTTGTGGATAGACTGCAGTGCACCCCGAACTGGAAACACTACTCACCGAATTCATCCGGGAGCTGAGTGCAAGGTCACTACCCGTAACAGCAGAGCACATCAGTGTGAAAGCTCTCGAGATAGCACGCGACTCTGGGCTCACGAGGGTGCAATTCAAGGAATCGCCATCGTGGGTGCACCGATTTATGAAGAGAAAGGGCTTTGCATTAAGGCGGCGTACTTCCATCTTTTCACAAATGCTGCATAAGTAATGGATTGGATGGAACGGAGGACGATGCCCTCTGGGACGTTACCAGTTAAAAAGAGACGTCGTCGGACTCAAGTTTGGACGAGTCTGAGTGACGGCACTTTGGGGCATTCAGGTGTTTTACTACATATGATTAGGGTCCAAATAAAGAGAAGTGTCACCATAGTGCAGCTGATCGTATCGCGTATTTACCAAGGTAAGCATGCGTCGCGATACTTTGTGATCTTTAAAAATTTATTTTTTGGATATTCAAAGTTTGGAGGGCTATGGCTCGGACCACTTTTCTGAAAAAACCTTCAAGAGCTGCGGGATATCAGAATGAGGCAGAACGAATCGGAGGTATTAAAGAGTGCTGTGCTCTATGTGACACACTTCAGCGATGACGAATATAAACATGACTAGTGTCTCTTCGCTGAAATACTGAAACAATGTTGAATCCTGACGCAGAGCCTTCAACCACTGCAAACACAACAATGGGAAGCCCCGACAAGCATATGGTGACAGTGATGCTGGCTGGAGTTTGGAGAAGCGCCGGCGATGACATGTATTGGTATTTGGTAGATTTAGTATAGTGTAAATTTTTGCATTAGCGTGTTTCGCTCACTAAATTATAGCGTAATGCTTTTCCAAAAACAAAACCAGCACAATGACGCCCGGCGAAATGCTAGACAAGCTGCGCCATCCATGATCGTGTAATGAAAGCTCGGAAAGCTGATCGGCTCACTTCTAGTTGCGGGTAGTCAAAGCAGCAAAGTTCTACAGAAATTTTTCATGCTCGAGTTAGAGCAATTTAACCACATAAACGTATTATAATAAAGAAAACGAATTGTGCTCCATTTGGTTTAATGTAAATGTTTTGGGTGCATTCAGACAAGTATTTACAGGAATGCATGGACGGTTTTCGCAGACATGGGAGTGTGGCAAACCGAGCATCGGTAATAAATACAACACTGTCTTATCATTCGTGGTTATTGATGAATCGAGCATATTCAAAGTGTAAGCGAGTGGCATCATTTATTGTGAACTAGTGAGTGCTAAGACAGCAGGACATGACGGTAAGCGCGAAGCAGGCAGCCGTTATTTAGATGCGAGCTTTAACGAGTCTCTATGTATCCTTTTAGTGCATGTTTACATTGTTTGCTTTTACAGCGAAAGCTGTTATGAGATCACAACTTGGGTCACGCACAGCGCTGTAGTAGTCCACTGCCGTCGGTGTACATAACCACTATCGCACGTGATAAGAAAAAAAAAATCTAGCACCAAGGACAGAGTGTGGCTCGAACCCAGGTCTGCTGCGTGCCAACCCAGTATTTTACCACTGAGCTGTGCCGGTGCTAGGGACTTGTTCTCTAACTTGCCTTAGGCAGGCTTGATGTAGGGAAAGGAATCGTAGTAATATGAATAATAAAGCGTTTTAGAACAGCAGAAGAACAACCAGGCGTCACACAATGCGAATAGCAAAACAAGTCAGTCGTCCAATGCTCCAACCCGTTACAAAAGCTTGTTCCTGATCACCTATTAACTGTGGCGCATACCCACTTCAGGCATGAATTCTCATCACGTTGAGCACTGCATGAACAATTGGCACAAAATTCTTTGCGAGTGTTTAGCAGATACCACGCTTCTCAGAAGAATGCCGAAGGATAGCATAGCAAATGAAGGCTTACTACCGAGAAATTATTATTATTTCCGTAGTGGGTACCCAGCAAGTGTGCTTGCAGTAGTTACCCAATGAGTGTTTGGAAAAGGCTCTGAAAGGCCGTTCGTCTAGCTTTCGCTGTGACTGTGCCGTGCCTTGCGTGCAGGTCTGGCGTTTTTTTTCGTTATCATTTAAAGAAAAAACTCTGGGGCGAGGCTGCAAAGCACTTACTTCGTAGTGTGGAGCAAACAATTCGCCTGCATCAGTCAGTCTGTTGAGTTGCTATGTCGCTTCCTGTCAGCTGTAATGGCGTCGTTTTTTAGTATAAAAAATTGCGTGGTTGCTGACATTTTTTTCTTACGTAACCACTAGCATTTTGAAGGTGAAATTTGGCAGGCATTGACTACAGCCAGACTGCCTATAAATCGGCTTTTTGAGGTGTAAACAATTTTATTGCAGTTGGCCTTCAAAATATGATATGAAGTACACCAGTCTGTCTTAAATTACTTCTTTTTTTAGGGGCAAAACTCCTGAAAGCGTGGGTCTGTCCATTCCTTGTATATATGTATGTGACCGCCGATAGTTCCACCTCTGCCAACTGCCTACTACTTCGTCTTTGCAAACATTCCACTATGCCCCTTCACTACGCCCCATCACTGATCCACCACTTCACCGACCATAAAGCAAATAAGTAGCCAATATGAAATGCAAGATGGTTGTGTACTTGTATCCAGGTGCGTGTTAAAGAACCATAGATTGTCCCACTGTGTCCATTCCTTGTTTGTACGTGACCGCCTATAGTTCCATCATTGCAAACTGCCCACTACTTCGTTCTTGCAAACATCCCATTACCCTCATCATCGATCCACCAGTTCACCGACCATAAAGCCGTCATAATGAATGGGGAACGAAGCAACGTATAGCTATCACTGACGAATATTGAAATTTTTTGTATAAATATACACTGTTTGTCACGTTTTTGATGATGTAGTGGGCGATATTCAAGGATGGTTCATGGTTTAGTGATGAAGCCCTCTAGCCCCACTCTTCATCATTCACTCCGTGGATATCCTGTGATTATTTTTGTTCTTTGCTATTCTGCATTTTGAAAAATGCGAAAATGTCTCAAGTAGCAAGTCATGTTGATTCAGTATGTGCTGCAAGAAATTAAAGCATAAAGTGCAGTACAGCAAATTGAAACTACTATAGACTCATTGAACTGAACCTGAAGGGGCCAAAAAAGTGTGCTCCAACCCTGAGGCCCAAAATATGTTATAAAGAGAAATATGTGCGCATTTCTTTTGTGAACATAGTGCCGCAAGAATTCTGCAAATACGTGCTACCTATATTAACCCTTTACTGCCGGATGTCACAAATTCTCGACGTACTGAAAACCTTCGAGCAAGTAAATCACGAAATGTGAGCTACCTATATTGCCGGCTGCCAAGTACTCATTGGGCATGTAGCTTTCAGCATCTAGCGCAGTCTCGTCCAAGGTATTTTAAGCTAGAACCAATTGTTTTGGGGCTCAAGGAGGAGAATGCAAAGCACGTGCAACAACTATCGCTTAGTTTTTTCTTGCCTTAGTGCCGTAAGTTCTCTCTCCAATAATATTGTTTATTCAGTGTGTGCGCACTCAGAAGGTGATACATAACATGTTTCGTAGCTCTTAAGTACGTTTTTTGTTGCTAGGTCCTTGCTTCTATGGCATATGGAGAATTCGCGGCATACGCATATGGAATAAAGTTGAAACTTATACAGTTTAACTGCAGAATATTTTAAGAGTTCCTACTTAAAGCTGGAATATCAAAACAATTTTTATTTTGCTCAGAGGTTTCATAAGTCTGGCGTTAAAAGGTTAAGGAAGTTACAGGAGTTTTAACACCGGTTTCAACAGGTTTCAATTTTTGCGTGGCCTCGCCACCCTTCTCGCTCACAGGGAGGGGAAGGTGTACCCCATCGTCGTGACTAGATTAGACCACTCGACGAGCTGCGTGCTATGCAATTTGCGGATCAGTGACTTTGCATCACTGCGCATGAAAGGAGGATTGATCAGGCACAGGAAAGAAGCGCGTGGGAATTGTTTTTCGAAATGGAGTCTCTGTGCGGCATACAGCGGTGTAATATTTAGAAAACATGATCGCCACGGTCTACTCTACGAATTACTGAGCTTCTTTGGGGGGTCCAAAAAATAGTCGGAGCCTGTTCACTGTCCCTTTATTAGGAGTTCTGTTTACCAGAAGATGAACAAGGGTGCAGCGTAGAAATACGAAATCAATCATACTGGGAGCAGTTATTTCAGTGGCGGATAGAGGAAAGGCAGTAAAAACAATTGCCCCCCCCCCCCCCCCCCCCCCCCCACCCTACGTCTGTGTCAGCACCCCCTCTCACTTCAGTGCTTGTAGTCCACCTCCTATCCCCAATTAGGATAAATGAGCGAAGCCACAGTGATCAAATATTAACAGTATTAATGCCATGAAGGGTGTTTTCTGCTATTAAAAACAAAAAGTCATGTCCACATCCTGCTCTTTAATGTTACTTTAGGCTACCGCCCCCCCTAAAGTGAGTGGCTGGATCCGTCCTTGATTTCATTTAAGCAGCAGTTTCATTGATTTCTGTGTACTGAGCGTCTGCTGCGCTTCATGAGGCACAACAGTTGCAGTAGTGTCGCTTTTGTAACTTCTTGTCGTTGCCATAAAAAGTTTCCTTCTTTGCGTTTAGTGTGCTGTTAGAGTGAAATCCTCTTGTCTGAGAGAAATACCAAATGTGATTGTATATGTTTACAAAATAAATGAGTGGCTTCGGGTTTGGCAGCATGACACGACGTCGGTTAATAGCTAACGGTTAATAGCTAACGACCGAGCAGGGCAGCCTCACCATGAGTACATGTCATATCGGTCCAAGGAGGAAGCGCGGTTCAAGGAGCTTCCTTTCCCCTAGCAGAGAGTAGTGAGACCCCTCTTTATTCCGGAAGTTTTGTTTTTGCAATTACGTTTCTCCTGGTAATCTCAGGCTCTACAAAATCGCACAGAGCAGCACAGGCAAATGAAAATGCATACTCCACGGCCGAAACTGCATCACTGCAGGGCCAAGGCACAGTTTAAAGGGTAAATGACCAATCGACAAGCTCATTGGCACGTCAATTTGCCTGTGGGGAAGCATTGTGGAGAAGCGCCTACGAAGGGGATTGGTCTGAAGGAAAAGGCACGAGAATGTTTTTTTAAATGGAGTGTCTTCGTCAGGCGCAGCGCTGTGATATTCGGAAAATGAGATCGCCAGGGTCTACGGTACGAATTTGCTGGCTTGTTTGGGGTGTGTAAAAAAAAAAGTTGGAATCTGCTTACTGGCCCTTTAACATTGCTAACATTTCTTAAATGGTTTGGAAAGTACACACGGAATTGTGCTTTCATTATTTATGTCAGCACTGGCTTTTACTGCATTTAATACATCATGTGCAACACCGTGAAAAGTATGCAAAAGTTTGGTCAGCAAAATGGATAGCCCTCGGTGTCTCATAGTCAGTTTTTGTTGGAAACGCTCATATGAGCCTCTGCGGGATGCACCGTCAGAGGCAGCAAAGGAAATAGCAAAGATCAAAAACAAGGAGAGGCTAAGCAATCTAACCATATCAAGCCATATGAGTGGTTTTTTTTCTAAGACATAAAACATTTTTTTTAATACTCAGCCTAAGAATGAAAAAAAAAATTATGCAGGGGTTAAAAACATTGATTTAGTATTTCATAATAGTAACCCACTTTCTGGAAGAAAGTGGGTTACTATTAGGAAATTAGGTTACTATTAAGTTACTATTAGTGGGATACTAGCTTTTACAGTGTTGCACCTGATGTGTGTGATGGAGAGTAGGGAATTTATCTCAGCAGCACGCACTCCGCTTATTTAGTATT